GGGAGGGTGGAGAGGCGCATAGCTTCCTCCCATCCTGCGGGACCAACAGGTGGGACGCGCTGGCGCGGGCGTGGGCACCAGGTGGCGCTGCCGGGCAGCTCTCCGCGCTCCAGGGCTGGGGGAGCATCGGCTGGGGGTGGCCGACGGGCTTGGAGCTTGAGGACCAAGCCTGGTCGCAGAGAGAGCGCACATCAGCTCCCAGGAGGGACAAGCTCTATCGGGGAGGGGCGTGACCCAGGGACCACGGGAGAGAGCGCTCGCCCTGCCCGCCCCCACCGGGCAGGTGTTTGCCCACCTAGGGCCGGGATCCGGACTCAGCTGGTCAAGGGCTCCCGGAGCAAGCAGGTGCTCAGCTCGCTCGTCCTCCGCTTGGGCTGGGACCTGGGGCCCTAAAGGGGCAACCCAGGGTCGGGAGCTCCGGGGCAGCGGCACTTTGAGGATGAAGGGCGCGATGACCTCGGGGGGGCGGGGGGGTGCGCCCAGCCCTGCCGGCCTGAGGTCACCGCGAGCAGCTCTCGTACCCACCGCACCCAGTCTCCCGGCCCTCGGAGCCCGGGCTGCGCCCGCTGAGCTAACAGGTTAAACGGAATCTGGGCTCCCGAGAAGGGGGTTCCCCGGGGGTGGGAGTGTGACGGGGGCGCAGACCCCGGCCCCTCCGGCGCTAGCCACCTCTGCGGTGGACACCCAAACACCGGGCTGACGTTGCCGTCCAGCCCCGCGGCCGGCCGCGCGTGCCAACTGGACTCTGTCCACCACGCCTCCTCAACCCCCACTGGCAAAACAGTGGCCTTGGTTTGGGAAGGGGCGGGTCTGCTAGCCACAGGACAGAGGAAGAGTAGGCGCCAAAGCCCCTCTTCCCCCCCTGTCTTGCTGCCCTAAATCCTGCCGCCCTGGTTGGGGTTGACTTCCTAGGACCGGTCTTAGGGACTAAACCAGGACCATCCACTCCTGCATCTTTCTAGGTCTTAGGGGCTAGAAAGTCCAAGCAGCAATCAGCTTGCCTCTCTCCCCACAGGTGACCACCGGCAGAGATCAGAGAGCTGCCACAGGGTGTGTCCCACAGTGGGAACCTGGGCTGAGGTGGGGTCCTGGGGTTTTTTTCTTCCATCAGTGGGTGGTGAGTGCTCAGTACTGCGGCCTGTAGGTACCTGGTCTGGGTCTACATACACAAATACACAATCCTAAGTAAGTGGACAAGGGGTGGGGCAGTGAATACCTGACTCAGGAGGGCACCAGCACCAGGAGATTGAGGTTTCTGGCTGACTTGCCATTAGCTGCAGTGTGCCCTTGGACAGGTGTGCCCTTGACAGTGGGGGCAAAGGTCCTCAGGTGGAGCCTCCTTCCTGCCAGGCTCTGGGCAGGTTGAGTGTCCATCCACCATAGTGCCCTATGGGTGTTGAGGGATCTCCTGGTTCTGGGGAAAAGGGCAAAGGGAGGTACTGGCCCTTAATCAACTTCTCCTTGTCCTGGGGACATCGGGGGAGGAGCCATTGCCCATCTAAGACCAGGAGCCCAAGGAATGGAGCTGCGGTAGGTGCAGGTCCCCATGTCTGCCAGCCCTTGCCGCTGGAGACCCCACTGTGAGTCACCATTCTGGAACAGCTGTGCAGAGTTCCTGACTTCACCCAGCTTCCCCAAACATTTCCATGTGCAAACACCCCGTTGGACTGGGGTGGGGTGGGGGCTGAGGATGGGCTTTGTTGCCTCTAGTGTCAGGCACTCAGGCAGAATCTCCTCCCCACCAGGCTCTGGGACTCCAGCCCCGCCCCCCTTCTTCTATTTCAGGCTCTTGTTGGCTATTTATAGTTGTGTCCGCCAATTGCGTCAGCCAGAGTCTGGCCTCCCTGCCCGTGCCAGTCCTGGGGCTGATCCTGTACTGCTGTGTGATTCCTGGTGGAGAAGGGATAAGAGGCACCTTCCTCTTTTGCTCCCAGAACTCCCCCTGGCTGGACTTCAGGAGGAAAGGCCCTACTTCACTTGTGTCCAAAAGACAGGACAGATGCCTTTGTGCTGTGCAGTGACTGCACCCCAACAGTCTCATCCTGGGTCCAGATGAAGGTCCTTTGAACTTGCTCTGGGCTCTTCCAGCTCTTCCACTCCACAGGGTGCCTTTCCTATTCCTTTCCCCTTAGGAAGCCTCCCCCTCCTAGCCTGCTCTCTTAGACTCCTCCCACCCCTAAAGTCACCCTCCCACAACTACGGCTGCTCTCCAGGGGGACACTGGCAAGCTCTGAAGTCAGAGAAACCCATGCTGGGTTTGGAAAGGCTGGAGAGAGCTCACTAGGCACCTGCCTGGTCTTTGGCAAAAGCCTTCCCTGGCATCACCCTGCTTTCTTGGGGTGGGGGAGTACATTTATGCTCCCCAGTTCCTTAGGACATGGCTCTGGGAACTGGTGCGTAGCTCCACCTCCCTCCCTCTTGACTGGCCAAGACCAGCTCTGCTCCCAATTCACAGGGGACCCACTGCCTTCATAAGGCCATCCCCATCTCTTGGGATTTGCTTCTCCATCCAAGAATCACCCTACATCTAGGGACCCCCAGCACCTACAGGCCAGGAGTAGGCCTGGGATTGTGCTCTGCCTTCTCAGTCTAGCCCCTCACTCCTGACAAAAAAGAGTTGACTTCTCTGGAGGGTTGGCTTCCCTGACCAGGAGGGCAACTGTTTCCCAAGTGCCTGCATAATGCAGGCACCCACTGCAAAACCCCTCCTCACCCCCATCTGCCAGCCCCCTGCCCTCTTCCTGGGAGACTGGGCACCTACTACGCATGTCTGTTTTCAGAGCCCTCAAAGGTCCTCCTTAAGGGCAGGGCCCCATCCTTTGGGATGAACCACTTTTCTGCACAACACTGGACACTCCCCACTCCACCTGCCCTTTAGAGTCAGGCAGGTTGCAACCTATCCCCATGGCACCTTTCCTCTGTCAGAGCTGTGCCAGAGCTTCTTTTGCACTTTCTCCCACGTGGTGACCCTCTGCAATGCTCTGTCTCTGTGTGTGTGTCCTTGTTTCTGCAAATACAACTTAGCATTCATAGAGCTTCCTCCTCCTGGACACCTGGCTGGGAGCTGGCCTGCTGCACTCTCCTGCCCTGAGTGCTTCCATTTCTGAGCCTCAGAAGTGCCTTGAATCTGCCCACAAAAGCATGGATTGGAGGAGCTTGCAGGGACACTGAGAACAGCCCTCTAGGACTCCTCATAGAGAAAGGAATGACTCTGGGGAGCCAAGTCCAGCTTCAGCTTTGCCTCAGACTCTCTGAGGGACATTGGACAAACCTGTTCCTCTGAGACTTGGACAGAGGTGAACTGGGCTCTGCAGAGGTGTCCAGCCCAAGGCTGCTAGTTTGTGGCTTATTCATTGCACATTCACTACGTGCCTTCTATGTGTCCCTATAAAATGGGAAATAGAGGTAAGTATACACCTGTTTTTGTGTGTGTGTGGTAGCGGGGCTTAAACTCAGGGCCTACACTTTGAGCCACTCCACCAGCCCTTTTTTGTGATGAGTTTTTTCGAGATAGGTCTCGTGAACTGTTTGCCAGGGGCGGACTTCGAAATGTGATTTTCTTGATCTCTGCCTGCTGAGTAGCTAGGATTATAGGCATGAGCCACTGGTACCCGGCTAGCGCACACCTTTGATATAAGAAAGATTAACAGAAGGGCTCCATTGCAATATAACATTATTCACCCACCCATGCTCCCTCTTCTTCCTCCATCCAGTCATCCGTCTACCTCCTACCCACCCTAACCATCTATCCTCCCTACCACCTGACTATCTATCTACTCATCCATCTACCCATCTCTCTACCCCTTATCACCCACCCAAGACCCACCAAGTGTCGGGGTGTGGGAGTCACTCCTTTAATCCCAACTCTCAGGATTATTCCTGAGGCAGGAGGAAAACAAGGTCAAGGCCAGCCTGGGCTAAATAGTGAGACCCTGTCTAAAAAAATAAACAAAAACCATCAAGTGCCTTTAGCTTTTGGCCTGGGGACTAGGGTGACAGATGTAGGGGTCAAGACTTTCAGGGGCCTATGTGGCTGGGTATCCAGAGGCCAGAGCAGCCAAGCCCAGCCCAACATGTTTAGCTCTTGTGTCCTCTTGGCCAAGTTGACCTCTCTGAGCCTGGCGAGCTGGTAAGCGGCACCTCCCTCACTCCCATGTGTAGTCTTACATTGCACCCAGGGTCTTGAGCCCCAAGGCAGGCACCCAGTTCCCAGAAGCCTGTCACCCACCTCCTGCAGCTGCAAGTGCTTATGTGCTTTGTGGGCGGGGGCTGCTGTGGAAGTGCTTGAGACAACTATCGCTTCTCTCTAGTCCTTGGTTTTATTGACTCCTAGGGGCTGCCAGGGTTATAAATAGATGTTCTTGAGCTAAAAATAGCCTTGCTAGAGGCTGACTGAGCTCCTAGCTTTTGTCCTTTTTGAGGACTCTTAAGGATGCAGGATTCAAGAACCCTACGTTTTCCCACAGGAAAACGGGCAGGTGTCACCCTCCTCCAGTACTGTCCCCTGCTTCTTCTGTGTACTGAAACACATACACACACATGTGCCCACACATGTGTGGACTCACACAAGTCTGGATTACCTGCCTGTTTGGGATAGGGTGACCAAACCTAGAGGGCACTAAATTAGGGGGGAAGAGTGAGGAGTCTACCTGAAAATGCCCATAGGTTTCCTAGAGCTGTGACTGAGCAAAGGCGGTGACCCTTCTAGAAAGTCTAGAAGTCTACAATGCACAGATGCTTTCGGCTGCATGGCCTTGTAATGGCACGTGGTGAAAGAGCCCAGTCAGGGATGCACTCACACTTTGGGGTTTGTAGCTTAGTCTGATCTGCACTGGTGAGGGAACAGCTCTCTGCAGGATGAGCCAGAGCTGCCTCCAGGAAGAGGAGCCCAGTGTCTGGGGACAAGGATGGGGTCTTACAGCAGTACTTTCTACCAGATACCCTGGTGTGCATTTGATCCTTGTACCCTGTATAGACCGCACTTGCAGTGGCAGGTAAAGAAGGCATTTTACATTCTGTGGGTGCCTCTCCCCAACTCCTGGTCCTTCTGGGACAAGTCTCAGACTCAGATCTCTGCCCTCTTGATAGGCAGGATTTGCAGGCCCAACCACTAGGCTCCTGGCTTCAGGTAGCCCCTACCCCAGCCCACCACCAGTCCGAAGAAAGAGGCAGCGGAGGCCTGGGGAAAACATCCGTCTCAGGATTTATTACAACACATTGTTTTCAAATACAAAAGGAAGGAACAGGAAAAGTGCGGCCCACTGGGGGCAGGGTTCCAATGGGGCAGGTGGGCCAGCACCCTAGTCCTCAGGGACCAGGAGCCTTGAGCAGGGGACTGGCCACCTCTTCTCCGCTGGACTTTCCAGCAAATAATAGGAGGGCACCAAGTCCATTCTGGGTTATCCCAATGCCAAGCAGTGGCCAGGTGGGAGGGGCAGAAGAGGCTTGGAGAGACTCAGCCAGCTCTCCATACTTGGGACAGTGGGTAGAAAGTGACCAGGAAAGGGCTGGTGCCTCACCTCTTCCAGCATATAGGAGGAGGAGGCGGCAGAGACAGGATGTTCTTCCCCATCTTGCCTGCTCACTTTGGGGTCCCCAGAGCGAGAGCAGAGACAGACTGAGACCAGGGTGCCCCATGTGCTCAGGAAAGAAGCCACACCCTAGTAAGGGGAGGGCGGGGCCACAGGCCCCACCCCAGAGTTTGGGGACCCAACCAGTGGCCCCAGACCACTGTCTCCTGGACAGTAAAGGGGTGGGGGTGAGGAGGGGGGAGCCAGTGCATCCTCTACACCCAGGGTCACCTCAGAAACCCAACGCAACAGACAGGAGGCAAATTTACATAATTAATAATAATTAACCAATAATAATAAATACTTAAAACCTCTAATCCACAGATTGCAAATACAATGATAGCTTATTTTCTCAGGGATCAGGGTGGGTGGGACAGAGGGAGCTGAAAGAGGACTTTTCCTTAAGAAGGAGTGACAGGAACACAGGGCTGTGGATCAAAAGAACAAATAGCGAAGGGGCTGTAGGGGGCAGACAGGGGCCACCCCAGGCCTGCTCCAGGACTCAGTCCTGCCTGGGCCACTCTGCCACCAAGCCCCTGGCCTTTTTCCAAAGTGACGGCCCGCTCCTACATTCTAGGACATCTGAGGGACAGGGATTCCCGGTCCTGCCCCCAAGACCTTGGGTCCCAAATGACCCAAGAGGGTATGTGGCAGGAGTGGCTGGGGCTTCTTTTCTGCCCTCACCCCCAGGTTGACCCTCCTGGGCCAAAAAGCCATCTGGAGGTGGGGGATGGCATGTCACCTTGCACACACTGGGAGAGCGCTCTAGGAAAGAATACAGGGGCTTTCTCTCCTGAGAGGCCCTGTGGGGTTTGGGGCAGGCAAGGAGGCCTTCTCCAGCACCTGCTCTCATCTGGGGTCTTTCTTTGCCTTGAGGTGGCCCTCTCACAGGCTAAGGACTCACCTTGGAAGTGTAAGAGTTGGGCAGGCCTGCTTGTGAAGGGCCCCCAACCTGCCAGTGTACCCCTAAATTCCAAGTCCTGCCTGGACCTGCGGCTGGGTTGTGGAAGAGTCCAGAACAGGACCCTGGCTCCACTTCCTCCTCATTCCTGGGCCCAGAGCCTCCCTCTGACCAGTGGAGCAGGCACTAGCTACCCAGCTCCTCCAGCCTGTTCCCAGGTAAAGCTCTTTTGCTGTGCTTCTGTTGGGCAGTAGGCACCTGCAAAGGAGAGGGGAGTGGCTGTTCTGAGAAACTGGACAGCCTCAGGCAGGAGGAGGGGACATTTCCACCCCATCTTTGCCTTGGAGTCCACCTCAACTGACTGTCAGGAGCCCCTTTGCCCAAGCCCCTCCACACTGGGCCAGTGCCTGTCAACACCTGCCAGGGTACAGCTCTGGAGTGACAGGCAGCAAGGGTACCTTCCATGTCACTGAGACCTGACGCCTTGAGCTGGTAGGGGGCTAGCTCAAGGGCCCAGCTGGGGTCTCCTGTGGGCACAGTAGGGCCACATTCCCTGCTACCTAAGGCTTTGGTGCAGAGCCGGAGACAAAAAGGGAGAGGAGAGGAGGTGAGTGGAGGAGAGGGAAGAAGGTTCTGCGGCTCAGTTTGTGGCAAAGAATTTTTTTTTCCTTTTTCCCCTTTTTCTTATGTAAAAAGTGCTCAAAAGCTCGGCAGCTCTTTGCAAAGTCAGCAATGTTTCCTAGGCGAGGGAAGAGAAGGAGCCCAGACCTGGCACCCCAGTTTGGGACTGAAGGTGGCCTCATATTGCTTAGAAACGTGTGTTTCAGTTTAAATACCAGACAGTAAAAACAGAGCTTGGGACCGCCCCGCACTGTTGCCAAATCACTGCCAGAATGAACAGCTTAAATAAATAAAAAAATCGAAATATTTACTTCTCGATAAAAACTGCAGTAAAACCATTTACCTTTCTTCGCATTATATATAATATATATTTATGCTGGGCCCGGCTGGCAGCCCAGCAGGGGATTGCTGACGGCAGTGGAGGGGGTCATGACACCTCGATGACCTCCACGCTGCCGGAGAAGCTGGCCTGCTTGCCCAGAGCCGCCAGCTCCTCGCCGCGCGCGCGCCCCTCCACCATGCCCTCCTCGAACTCCATCTGGCAACTGCGCCGCTTGAACTGCGCGTCCGGGGCCGGCTCCTCCGGCCAGCCGGTCCGCACGTCCCGGGGCTCTGCCCGCGTCGCCTCCCGCCGCCGCAGGTCACCGCTGCTGGCACCGGGTCCCGGCGCAACCACCCGGCCAAAGGCCGGGAACCGGGCGCTGCCCGCCCCCTGCGCGCCCTCAGGGCTGAAGCACCACGGCCCATCGGGCGACGGCGTGCCCGGGGAGTCCAGCGGCGGCACCCAGGCCCCGGGGCCAGCCGGCTGGCCAGGGCCGGGCAGCCCGGGCGCTGACAGGGCCGAGAGGCCGTGCCGCGGAGTCTGCCGGGCTGTGTCGCCGAAGTTCAGGCCGAGGCCGTGCACCGGCGAGCGCGCAGGAGAACCGGCCAGGGGCCTTGGCCGCCGGCGAGGTCGCGGCCTCGCCTCTGGTGCCACATCAGGGCTGTCGGGGCTTGGCGAGGGTAGCCCCAGTGTGCCCCCAGACGGGCTGTCCAGCTTGCAGAGCTTCGGGGCCTCGCCGGGGTCGGGCGGTCCAGGGCAGTCAGGCTGCCTGCTCGGGGCATAGGCCGACTTGATGTCCAGTGAGAATGAACGCTTGAGGCGATTGGTGTCCTGGAGGCGGTCAGATGAGAGGTGCAGGCCACGCAGGCCCTGCTGCAGTGCGCTGGTGGCTGGCGCCCCAGTGGGTGCTGGTACCTCTCCACCAGCCCTGGGACTGCCCTCCCTGGCTGTGGTGCCGGCTGCACTGCCTGTGGCAGCATTCTCTGAGGTAGATGGTGGCAGCCTGGGCAGTGGGATTCCTGCTGCAGGGCCCTGGAGGGGCTCTGGGGTTCCTAGGTGGGGCGGGTCACCCTGCAGGGCAGCCAGCAGCTTCAGGCTTCGCTCATACTCCAGCAGCTGACCCAGGAAGTTGAAGTTGGGAGAAATGGAAGGGCGCCGGTCCTTCACGAACCTGGACAAGAGGTGGCTCGGTTGGGAGAGGCACTTCCCTCAGGCCAGGCTGCCCCAGCGCTCCTCCCCACGCCTGCTGTGTGCATCATAAACAGTACTTAACTATACGGTGGGGCTGGGCTCAGGTGTCCCCCTCCCTGCCAGGGCAGTGGGGTGGGCAGGTGATGGAGAGAGGAAGGGATGCTGTGAGCCATAGGTTGCGCAGTTCCAGGTACCAGGGCCCAGGAGGTACCTGTAGGCATCATCAGAGGACATGCCCATGGTCTTCATGATGTAGGCGATGGCAATGGTGGCAGAGCGGGAGATGCCAGCCAGACAGTGGACGATGACCTGGCAGCTGGACAGCTTGGCTTTATCTGGGGGCAGGTGGAAGCCATGTGAGGACCGAGACTGCACCATCCCTCACTACCCCATGTTGAGCACCCCACCCTTCCTACTGCCCAGCTACTTCTCAGGTGCCCTGCCAGTGGATGGCCTCAGGCCAGCTTCCCTCTAGTAAGCCCCCCACCTGCCCTCTTCCTCCCCCTCACCAATGAACTCGATGGACTTGTCCAGCCAGGGCAGCAGCTTTTCACAGTAGTTGTCATTGATGGGAATACGCATGAAGTGACTGTCGCAGATGAAGTCCGGCTTGGGGCAGGAGTTGCTGGCATTGAGGACATAGCTTATTCCATTTTGGGTCATCAGATCCTGGAGGGATTGGAGGACAGGTTGGAAGGAGGTGGTAGAGAAGAGAGAAGCCCCCCGGAAGGAGAAGAAGGGGGAGGTTTCCATTGTGCAGTCCAGAAGGACTTATATCTTAGGATGTTCTGATGCTCTGGAGCCTGGCTTTGCCTATGTGGAAGGGGCTAGGCCCAGCAGCCCCCTTCCTTCTCAACCATACAGCCCATGGCCCTGTGCTGCAAGCCCCACCCATAGCCTGAGGTAGACGCCTAGGAATTTTATGGTTGCCTGGGCGGTGGCTTCACCCTTTTCCCTTGTCACCATTTTTAAAACACGGAATTCTTTCTGAGCTGGCCACAGGCCCAGTGACAGCAGCAGTTTGGCATGCAAGCTCCCACTGGGAGCCTGCTTCTCCACCCAGCCCTGCTGGGCCCCTCCCCCCCAAGCCCTGCTGAGGTCCTGAGAGGGTTGGGGGGGTGGAGGCCCTGGGTCTTCCAGTGTCCCCCCCAGTCCCCCACCCCTGCTTGTCCACAGCCCTCCGCCCTCCCCCCACACCTCAGGAGCTAATTCCTGAGCCCTTGCCTCTTCCCATATCAGCTAGCCTCCCCTGTGCACACACCTTGTTTAGGACATCTTTCTGAGAGCCCAGGTAGAGGTGAGGCAGGATTCGGGTCAGGCCCACACTGGGCACTGGCAGGCAGGGCTGGGAAAGGCTCATGGATGGCAGGGCAGCAGGCTTGCCCTCACAGAGGCCGGGGAAGCAGGAGGAAAAGGTGGCAAAGCCCCCTGTAGGAGGAGGCAGAAGCAAGTTAGGCAATGCCAGCTGGACAGGAGAGCCAGCCCAGGACCAAGATTTTACCTTTGAGGCTCAGCTGCACTCTGCCTACTCCCCGAGCCCAGCCTGCAGCGGGCAGCGAGACTCTGGTCCAGGCACCTACACTCCTGCTGGCAGGCAGCTCTGCCACGCTGGGGGCGCATGCTATCGCCCATTTACAGCCCGCACCTACGCCCACACTCTTCCTTACGCTAATTAGGGGCTGGCCCAGAGGACGCTGCTGTGATGCCCATAAATGTGGGGTTGGGGTCGAGGTGGCCAGCTGGCACATTATGTGGGGCCCAAGTAGAGGCTAGCTCAGACCTCAGTGGGGGTCTCCTGTTGAGAGGAAAGCCCCTCCCCAGCCCTGCACACTACTGGCCTGGGGCTGGGTGGGGCCTTAGGCCTTCCCTGGTGCTGATGCAATTGCTCCCTGCCTCCAGTTGGCTGGGAGCCCCAGGCCTGGGCTCTGGTGCCAGGCCTGGGAGGAAAGGCCTTCTAGGGGGCCCTCCCCTCCCCCAGGCATGACATCACCCACTGGAATTGGCACAGCCTGCAGGGGCATTTGTGGTCTGGTCATGGCTCCACTCCACTCAGCGGGAGATGACAGAAGAGCGGGGAAACCTGGGCATGCAGAGCACACAGCCTGCTGCTCGCGGCTGGCTTGCCACCTTCAAGTCCTGAGGCTTAGGCTGGAGAAGGAGCCTCTCCACCAGCTGGAGAGACCCAAGTTTGAATCTCTGGTATGTCTGACTCAGTGACCACAGGCAAGGCACACCTCTGGTCTCAGTTTCCTCATCCTGCCTGCTATACAGCATTGTTGTGAGACTCAGAGAAGACAATGACCACGAAGACATGAGAACAAACTGACACATCTGACCCGGCTAGGGTAATAGCTGAGCCTGATGAGACACTGGGCAGAACCTACTCAGTAGCTACCAGATCTTGGCAGGGCAAGGTGACCTGACCTGCTCAGTAGCACTGGGACTGTTCACACATCTGGGGTGACAAGCCCCCATGGCAAGTGGGGTCCTGGCTCTGGCCTCAGCTAAACCATCCAACGCACGAGACAATGGTCTAAGGCCTTCCCTATCCCATAGGAAGAGGTGAAGGTGGGGTTTCAGGCCTGGGGGACCCCCACACTCTTTCCCGACATGGTCTGTAGAACAGGTGGGAACCAGGAAACCTAGATAATACCTGAGGACAGAGAAGCTGACGCCTTCACCTTCAGGCCTGGCCCCAGGTCATAGATAATTGGTGCAAACTCCCAACCAATATGCCTGTGTGTGCTCTTTGTACCCTCAAAGAAGTCTGACTTTGGGGGACCATGGAGAAGGGGGAACCTCCAGGCTGGGGGAGTCAAGGCACCAGCCTTGGAGGAGAAGCAGTCTCCTCCTTGGGAGCTGGGCAAACAGGGAGAAGCAGGTGATATTGGCACCAGTTATGCCACAGCTCACAGGTTCCCCAAGGGGAGGCTGAGCTAGACTACAGCAGCTCCTGGGTAAGAGCCTACCTGTGGCTTAACCGGCCAGGCCCCTTTCCCATCCCACCCTGGGTATGACAGTGCTACAGCAGGAGTGGGGCGAGGACCTCAGCACCTTCTCTCACAAGCCTCCCCTGTCAGGGGAAGAGGTCCCCTTCCCTCCACTGGTCATCCCCATCCTCTGGAATTCCTCAAGGAAGACATACTGGCCGTGGCCTGGCTATGTGATCCTGGGATATCACTCCTTCATTGGTGGTGGGCAGCACCCCTCTCCCCTACTCAAGACCCTTCCTTCTCCTATCACTGTTCAGGGCAGGGCCAACTCACAGCAGGGGCTGTGCGCCCATCAGAGCCTGTGGACAAAGCTAACAGGCTGTCCTGAACTGGGGTCCTAGTGTAGTGTTATCTTATACCATGGTGGCCAGAACTTCTTCCTGACTTGGCCTTTGGAGATATGAGGACACATTTTGCGGGGCTGGATACCCAGGACAGGAGAAGCAGGTGACAGTCCAGAAAACTCAGGGAGCTGGGTGGGGCACAGCTAGGTCCCCCAGGTGAACCCTCCTTGTAAATCCCATCCCAGGGCTACCCCACCAGCTGCTGGATGAGGGGGCCCTAGCCTTCCACACTGTCCCTACCCTCGGTCCCCAGGGAGACAAGCTTTGGGCTGCCCTGCTCCGGCTAGGGATGACACTGTTCTGGGACCCTCTTTGGTTTCCAAAAGGACCTGTGGCATCCATTCCTGACTAGAGAAGTGAGTTGGGCCCAGAACATCTACAAAAAGCCCCACACTTCCCTATTCTCCCCGCTTGTTCAGCCTCCAAACTGAACCTAGGGATGAGGGCTGGATTAGAGGGTGGTTCCCAGAGTTTTCACACATGCATCACAAATCACTAATCCCAACAGGCTCAGGACCAGTGCAAATACCAGGAGTAGGACACACACACACACACACACACACACACACACACACACACACACACAGAGGCACACACACAGCTGGTGATTGCCAGAGGCCCTGAGCACCACAGAAAGGTCCGCACTCCTTGGCACACAGGCCCAGTTCAGGGCACTCCTATCCAGACCCACATGGTGGTAAGTCCCTGCATATAAAACTGAATCCCCCAAGCCTCCTTGATGCCCTCAGGGCTGGACCCCTGTCACCTCCAAGCACTGGCAGCCTCCTTCCCAGGTAGGGCTGGAGGTCACTGGGCTCACTGGATGCAGGTGCCAGAGGGCTGGCCTGGGAACCCACTCACCACCCCACCCATCCGTGGCGTGGTGGATGTTCAGAGTGCCTTATCAGTCCTCCACACTCTCTACCTGCTTGCCACTGCCCGTGGTGTGGCAGGAGTAGTGACAGACCCCTCCGCAGGCCAAGAAGGGTGGGCATCCCTGGAACAAGCCAGCTCCATTGGCTCTTCCAGAAGTGGGCCACCTCCCCAGAAGGATGGTGTACAGAAACCCTCTCAACCAGTGCCTGTGGGTGGCAGTGTGAGGTGCATGAGTCAGTGTGAGTATATTACTGGAGGGCTTCCTAGCCTCCAGTCTGAGGGCCAGCTGGCTAGGCTGCTTTTGGAGCACAGAAAGCCCTAGAGGGTCTTCTGTTGGTCCCCCCCCAGGCAGCACCAGGATCAAGTAGGCTGTTGCTGGGCAACCTGTAGTCAGCTTGGTAGGGGAGGAGGGGTTTCCCAATCAGAACTGCATCATTGCCTTGCTCCCTCTCTACTACTAGCTGACCTTGTGGGTTTCCTCTTGTCCACCCCTTTACCTGCTGGGGGCAGAGGTGGGCACATGTTACAGGATTCTGAAGTGGGGAGACTAAGAACTCCAAAGGTGCTAAGATCCCCCACTGTCCCTGCAGATGCTGGGGTTGTGAAAGCCCAACCCTAGCTAGGCAATACTGGGAGGAGGGGCAAGAGGGTATCCCAGCAGCCCTGCCCGGGACCCAGAGCTCACCTGTGAGGATGGCCACACTGTGGAAGCAGCCGTCCAGCTTGCTGAGCAGGATGGACAGGAAGCTGTCTGCTGCCAGCACACTAGCGTCCCGTGTGCTCTGGTCATAGACCACCACGTCCTGTGGTTCTGTGGCCTCCACCTGGGGGACATGAGGGCAGAAGTAAAGGAACTGCAGGCACCTGTCAGGCTCCCTATGATCTGCTGCTGCCTGCTGCCTCTGGCCCAAGGGAAAAGCAGAGTGTCAGGAGGGAGAGGCTGCTGTCACCCTGCTGCCTGGGAGGACAGGTGCCCTGCCACAGACCTCACATACTCCACCTGCCCAGGTGCACAGGTATGCTCACCTGGACAGGTGTAAAGACCCATGGTCCTGTAAAACAGGCCATCAAATCAGGCAAGGAGAGAAGGGCTGCTGCTCTAGGCAGCCATGCCCTCACGCACACTCACAAGGGTGAAAGGAACAGATCTAGGTCGGTGTCCACTGTGGCCAGACCTGTATCCAGGAGACACAGGTGAGTGTGACAAGGTCCCTGGGGCACATGCATTACCACTGCCTTTGGGTGGCAGTGGAGCTGACTGCTGAGCCAGTCTGCCTCTCCTTCTCTTCCCTTTCCCTCCAGCCTCCAATGGAGAAACTGGGACTTCCCCAGTGCCAAGTTAGGAAGCAGCTGCTGGAAGGAAGGGTTCCTCCTACCCTTCTTCCCCACCTTGTGGGCCCTGGGGCCAGATGTTGAAAGGCTTTGCTCAGGCAGGCTAATGCCCTCACCCCAAGCACACTCAGCCTTTAAGTCAGCTGAGCTGCCAACCCTGGGCTGGATGATGTCACCGGCAACCAATAGGAGTGCACTCTGGCCAGAGCCCTCCCTGAGGGTGATTAATCACTGGATTCCCCCCACCACTGGAGCCACAGGGAGCCAATTCTGGCTTGGAGTGGGGGACTCCCGACAATCGGCCATCCCGCGTGGGTCCTCAAACATCCCAGCTTGGAGTGGAAGACCGGAGTTGGGGGAAAGGCAGGGCATGACAGAACCCCTCCCCAAGCCTCCTGGCTGTTGGCAGGCTTCCTCTCCCCCTCTTCCACACAAGGTGGTGGGAAAAGATGGTAGTGCTGCCTGCACAGGTCACTGGCCCTGCTGGTCCTTTCCCAGTAGCTGGACTTGGTCCCAGGGAGAAATGAACTGTCCCTTCCAGGAAGGACGTTCCGGGGGGCTACAAAGAATTCTGGGTTGTTGAAGATTCCAAGGGTGCTGAGGACATGGACTGCTAAGTGAGAGCCCCTTGTCCTACTCTCCTGTTCTCACTGCAGTCACAGTGGTCTTAGTGGTCAGATCCAGCAATTCCTCTGAGCCTCGTGCCACCTCCATACCCCCCCTCTCCATCCAGGGGATATGGAGGGAGGCTAAGAAGGTTTTGTACAGAAGGATCCCCTGAATGGGAGCTGCCCTACACTGGCCCCCAAAGCTGTGATCCCAAGGAGACAGTTTGGTTTTAGGGGAAGAAGAAAAGCTGCCTAATGTGAGGGATACAGCCCAGGAGCTCAGCTGTTGACTCCAAAGGCAAAGGCTACAATAATGGTGCACCTAGGAGGGGACTGGCCCTGGGGACTGGATGCACATGGAGTGTGGGACATGGTACCTGGCTACGCACAGCTGGCTGGATGAGCTCAGCGATGGTCACTTTGCCCTGCTGCAACCGCCGCTTCACCAGCTTGGAGCAGCAGATGTTGACAGAACTGAGCACATGCCAGCTGTTGTACTCCACGAAGGAGCGGCTGTCGATGACCAGAGGGCCCCCAGGCCCGCCCCGCAGTAGGCTGGCCAACTTCTTGGCATCCATGACCTTCCGTGGGAGCCGGTCACCGGCCATGGTGGGGCAGTGGCAGTGGGGTGGGTGACCCCTGAAGTGAAGAAAGGGTGCAGTGTTCGGAGTGTCCTAGTTCATGGTGCCAGATCTGAGGGAGAGGCAGGACAGTCAGCAGTGCTGTGGGCCCTGAGAGGCAGCTGCCAGCAACCAGCAGGCCCCATGCTAAGACTCTGACATGCGTGCACCTTCTGGCCCTTCCTCCCAGATGAATCAAGGTCTCACCCAATGGGGAGAGTGCACAGGAGAGGCCCTGTCCAGTCCCTGCACTAGTGGTGTTCTGGTACCAGGTGCTTGCAGGACATACCAAGGCAAATGAAGACCCAGAGGGAAGTCTCAGGGCTGAACTGGCTTGAGGGTTCTTTCTCTGGGCTCTGGGGTGCATCTGCTAGAACTCTAGTCTGTGGCCTCTGCATCTTCCCCACCCCAGGCCCTGACAAGGCAGGATGCAGAACTTGCCCCCAGCTCCTAACTCCCAAGCCCTCTGCCTTCTTCCAAGCTAGCTGCCCCCAGATCTGCCCTCCTTTTCTTGACCAATCCCCAGACCCTCCTCTGTAGGGGTAGATCCCTAAGCAGATAATCCAGACCCTAGCGAATGGTGGGGGATGGAGTTGCCTCCACTGGCTAATGGGTTCCTGGAGGCTGCAGGTCAGGGTGCAACAGGGGCGTAAGTGTATGTGGGAACTCCTCTGCTACTGCCATTGTCCCAGTGCTGCAGGCTGAGGTTGACACACATGGCCTGCAGCACAAAGGGAGGGGGCTGAATATAGCAGGGCGCTCTAGGCACAGCAGAGGCTTGGAGTCTAGGCACCCCTTCAGGGACTGGGAGATCCCAGGATGGGCGAGGTGAGGGCAGCCCTTGGATTAAGGTTGGGTGCCTGGGATCCTTGGGAGTGTTGGATCTCAGCATGACACCAAAAGCCTCCTTGTATGGGTTTGATGACAAGCCCCTGCCACCTGCCACCTGTCAGGCTCCATTTTCCCTGTCACCTGCCAGCACTAGACTTTCTCTAGGCCCTCTCAACCCTCACACCTCCCCCCAGGAGGCACTTTGTACCAGGATGACCAGTTTGTTTTAAACATGGGGAAACTGAGGCTCAGGAATGGGGTTAACCCAAGTCTACACACAAGAAGGCTTGGGAGAATCCAGGGCTCTGGGTAGTACCTGCAAGGTCTATGCCCCCAGCCCCACAGTGGCCTTTCAATTGGGGTTTCACTACCATACCCCTACTGAACTTGGGGTATACCCCCAGGGCCTGTGGCAAAGGACCAGGCTGGGCAAACTTCCTCACCAAGCCCCCAAACCACTGTTAGGGTGCTGGAGTGGAACACCTTGAATACACAGGTGCTGGGAAACAGACAGGTGACTGTTATGGATTCTGCACAGCTTAGGGTCAGCTCCCAAGTGGTGGGTGGGGACTGCTAGAAGGGTCCCAGAGCAGTAGGTGGCACAATAGCAGGGCAGGTGCAGCAGGCCCTACCCAGTCACTCCCTGCTAAGGTAGTGGGATGGGCTAAGCCCCCTCCCTGCACTGGAATCCTGGTAGGAGCTTTGGGCTCTCGACACATCCTCTGGTCCCCTGCCTGGCCCTTCTTCCCACTTGGAGCCCTACAGCTAGACCCCCTAGGGTGGGGTGTCTGTCCTCTGACCTCCCTGGAGCCAGGGAGGCAGCTTATGCTGAATTATAGAGTTGAGACTGAGGGACTCCTGGCTACCAGGAACTGGGCAGCACATGGTCAGTGGGGGGGCCTTGGGTTTCATTAATGATACCTGTGCCTGTGCAGTCTCACCTTCGTTCCTCCACTAGAAGCCAAGATATGCTGCTACCCTCCTGAGAGTCATGCAGAACAAGCTTAATAGCAAATTGCACCGGTTACAGAAGGGGTCCCAGGCTGCAGAAGGAGACCCTGCTTGCAGAGACAGTCCTAAATTAATTCCTACATGAGCCGTTTTAGGAAGTTTCCTGAGTTCTACTTGAAGAGGTAGTAACAAGCCGTAACTACCCAGGTCCCTTGGGCCAGAGGAAGGGGCAGGTCTTGCAAGCCTGGCAGAATCTCTGCTGTGAGCAGTGGAATCAAGAGCCCAGGATCCCAAGAGGGCAACAGTAGGGTGGGGACACTGGGGCTCAAGGGACCTTTGCTGGGCCTCTTGGCGTGGCCACTCAGAAGCCTCCACCTCCTTATCAGCTAAGTTGGGGTGCTGTCTCTCACCTGAAGTAGCAGATGCAGAGAACTCCTAGTGCCAGGAAGGAGAGCAGCTGCCCACCTCTATCCTTAAACTGCGGTGAAGGAATTTTGCTGGGTAGAGGGGAGCCCACCCTGCAGACACCTATTACAGGGGGGACACTGAGGAGGGAGGGGAGGCCCGAGACCCAGAGGGAAGGGAGGGCAAGTCCAGCTTCAGGGTGTGGGCAGGGGGTGGAGGTGTGGGCCACTGGCTCATGAGCCTGGTACCTGGTCTCCACCCTGCCACCCAGGAAACCCTGGAACTGAAGCTGGCCCTATTAACTGCTGTAGTATTGTTATTTGCAGTCGAGGGGGACTCATTAGCAAGTTAGCACCTCCACCATCACCATGGCAACCACAGAGGTGCCAGGCAACGGCTGCTCCTGCAGCAGCTGCCACTGCGCAGGCTCCTCTGCAGAGCAGGCAGGTCACTCCTCCTCTCTTGCTCCCACCCCTGACAGCAGCTGTCTGGTAGCTGGGGCTAGTGACAGCCCACTCAGATGATGAAGCCCCTCCTCACATCTCTGCCCTACCTGGTCCTAATTCCCAGCACCCACCCCTGCACTGCAGCTTGCTGGCTCCCCACCCCTCTTGGAGGCCTTTTCTGCACTGTACTGGAAAATCTGGCCTGAGCGCCCCTCCTGCAGGATGAGCCTGCTGCTGCAGGCTGCCCCTGTACTGTGCTGCCTTCCAGGGGTACAACCTTCCAGGGGTTGCCCTGACCTCAAGCTTCAAGAGGGCCTGCGCTCTCTGACTGAGCTCCCCAAGATGCTGTGGATCAGAGGCCCAGAACTAGGAGTAGGTGGTCGAGGGTGGGGAGAGAGGTGTTGGTTGGGTCAGCCTTGAGCAGGTCAGTGGCTAGAACAGGCCAGGTGAGATGGGAGCAAAGCTCCAGAGAGAACAGCTGTCACCCTGCTCTTTCAGAGCTTGGGGTGGACAGGAGGAGAGCAGGTGGAGACAAGACTCTCCAGGCAAAGCCCTAGATCCTCGTCAAAGGGCTCTGAGCCAAGGAGACAGCAGCTTCCAAGTCCAAAGTCAGAAGGAGGCCTATCCCAGGTCGCGCCCCTTGAGGAGGTCCACATCAGCCTGGCTGATAAGGGCCGTCTGGATGGGCAGGAACACACCCCTGTGCACACCGACAGGCATTCGCTCCTAGGACAACCTACCGTGTCCCGTGTCACACACGGACATGTGCACAAACCTGAGACACTGGAGCCCTCTTGCAGTGCACATACACTTAAGTGCACACTTGCACACACGTCCTCACCCTCTGCACACCAAATCCTCTCAGGTCAGGATACCTGTAACCCAGGTACCAGATGCACAACCTCCTCACATATTGGGAGCTCCCACACCCAAGGCCTCCCACAGCACGTTTATATCCCTGAGCACATATGTGACCGGTAAGTCTGAGTCTTCGGGTAGCATCCTTTCCAAGCTATCTCCTGCTCAGCACCTAGTGACAGGGAACTTACTACCTCCAGAGATGGCTGCTAGGGCCATCAGAGTGGAGGACAGGGACTGTGTCTCTTGTCACAGTGGCGTCTCCAATCCTGCTTACAGCCGGACAGGTGAAGAAGACAAGATGCCAGCTCATTATGTGACATCTATGGAGGCTAGGAAGGAGGCCTGTAGTGGCCAACTCGGGTAGGTAGGGGTTTGAGTGTTCACAGGGATCAGCTCTACCCTCGTCCACTCTTACCAGACTCCTCAGTACCCTTCACCCTGGGGAGGCTGTGGCCTTGTGAAATGGAGGGATGGGTAGGACCCACCTCAGTTCCCAGGAGTGCATTTGGGCCAAGCCTGAGGTGGGAGGGGTTGGCATGGATGCCTTTGAGAGCAGAGGCTTGGACTCCCTCCATTCCCATCTGGTTTGTTCTAGACCCACTGATCTATAGAGCTTGGGCCGGTCACTGTGCCCACACTATGCTCTGGCCACACTGAGGCTTAGGCTTGTCACTGTCCCCATACTATGTACTGGCCAGCCCAGGGCTTCCTGAGAGGTCCTGGCAGAGGTGGCCTTGACCCATGTAGCCCTGGTGGATGGCACCTTCCCTGCTTTCTCTCTGAGGTGCATACCTAGGCTTCTCCAGACCCACACATGCCCCATTGAGACACCTGGCTGGCTGAAACTTCTGGACAGAGACAGCATCAGCCCCAAAGGAGAGATCTGGGGAGAAGTCCTGAACATACTGACTTAAAGCATCTTCTGCATCTGTGTTCCCAGAGTTCTACTCCCTCTGAGGCCTGAAGCCTCCCCAGGGGCTAAGGGCAGGAGGAGAGGAGAACCTGCCCAACAACTCTCCTGAGGCCGGAGGCTAACTGCAGCAAGAGGTATTTCAGTCAGACTTAAAGACCAACTTCCAGCTCCTGGTCATGTGGTCTGCCCACCTTGCAGGTGCTTGTTAACTGAGAACCCAATGCACAGAACTATTCTCCCTGTACAAGGGCTGGGCACTGCAGGCCACACGCATCCACCCAGCTGCCCTTGGAGCAAGCAGGTCTGAGGGTGGTCTACTAGCCCTTGGACTTCCACTCAGAACCGCCCCCCTCCACCAAGGGCAGGGGCACACGGCAGGAAGAAGGCTGTCCTAAGGCCTGCGGCACCCCACCCCCACCCAAGCTGCACAACAGAGCGCTGCAGACGCAACACAACGTCCTGCCACCCCCTCCTCCACCCAGTCTCCCACCCCATCACTGCACCTCTAGGGCCCCCAACCCCCCCATGCAGACCAGCACACCTTCACAGCAGGGAGTCAGGAGGCAACTTCTCCCAGAAGGGATGACCTGGTGGGGACTGGGTCTATCCTTGCCCCTTGCCCCAAGAGCGGCTGTTAGGTACCTCGCAGCGGGCCGCTTCCCCCTCCCAGGGTGGGCAGATAGGCCTGGGAGGCTGGCTGCAGGCGACCGGCTGTGCCGGCCCCTCCCCCAGCATCGCGCCTGCCTCTGCGGCTGCAAGGAACGTTTTTATGCCGCAGAGGCCAGAAGAGCACCCCGAGATGGGGGTGCCGGGGCCGTCTGGCCAGAGAGGGGGATCTGCAGGTTCTCCCCGCGGTACGCAGAGCCCTTTTCTGAGCCTCCCGCAGGCCGGAGCCTTCCCTACTGCGGGGAGGCTTCGCATCTCCCGGCCGTCTTCGGCCTCGGACTTCCTCCTTCTGGCCCCCACTGCGGGCGCCGCGCAGGAACTCGGACAGATCGGTGCTGGACCTCAAATGCCGCCCCCCGATCCTTAATTTATGTCCTCCCAAATAAGACGGAATAGAGGAGCGGGAATGGGGGGAAAGGCCACTAAGCGGCGACGGGGCGTGGGTCAGGCGGGGGTCCACAGTGCGCCACGGGAGGCGGGAAGGGCTACCCGGTCCGCGGCGTCCTAGCGAGCCGGGGCCGGGGCCCGCGCCCGATGTCCCGTGGGCGGGGACCTCTCCCGGGAGCCCGCCGGTGCTGCCCCCATACGCCCCCGGGCCGGGCGCTCCGGCTCCGCGACGGCCGACCCCTCTCCTCTCCGCCGGGGTCCGCGCGCCCCCGCGCCCCTCCCGGCCCAGCCCGCTCACCTGGCTCTCGCTCGCCGCAGGGGCGCACCGGGGACCCGCGCCGCGCTCAGGGCGCCCGCTCGGCTGCGCCGCCCATGGGCCCGCCGGGGCCCGCGCAGCCGGGGCAGGGCCGGAGGGGCGCGCGGGCCGCGTCGCCGTCGCCGTCGCCGCCGCCGCCACCGCCGCGGGGAGCGCTCGCTCGGGCCGGGGCGCGCGCACTGCGGTCGGCACGCGCGCTCGCGGCGCGCATCCCAGCCCGCGACTCCGCGGGCGCGGCCGGTGGCTCCGGCCCGGCTCCGGCTCAGCGTCCGGCGTCCGGGTGGGGCGGGGGCCGCGTAGCCGGCTCGGCCACCGCGGGAGCCGCGAGTGACAGGCTCCGGGCGGAGGGCGGGGCCGCCGGCGGGGATGAGGTCATGCCGAGCGAAAAAGCCCCTGACGTCACCTGCAGCCAATCAGCGCGCGCGGCTCGGGGGCAGGTGACGTCAGCCGAATCCCGGCCCAGGGTACAGATTAGAGGCCGCGGCCGCGAAGGCTCTCTGCCACCGCCCTCCGCCCCTTGCGCTACGCGCTTCTCCGGCACCGGCTCTTAAAGGGACCACGCGACCTCCCGGTCCCTTGTCCGAGCCCAGTGGCCGGCAGCAGTGCTGAGGACCCCACCTCCAGGAAGCCTTTCCAGCCCGGGGCTCCGCGTGGCTCGGACACCCCTCTGTCTCGCTGCGCACAGAGCCGCGGCCTGATCTGCTGTCCCGGTCCTGCTGTCCTTCTGCGCGATGATCCGCTCCCTGCCCGCCGGGATTGGAGCTGACGCCGGCTTTTCTCCTCCCCCCACCCTTTGTTCAGCCGGGCCGCCCGCCGGGAGAGCCCTCCCCAGCCCCGGTGCGGTCCTCGAGTGCGCGCTCGGCGAGCTCCGCCGGCGAAGCGCCTTACCTGCAGCGTCCACGTTACCCTTTCCTTGACCCCTGGAGGTGGGAGCCTGGATATCCATTTTGCTTGGGAAGCTCCGAGGCGACAAGGTTCGCCTCAGGTCACATATCCTGGGAACGCTGGCGGGGTGGGGGTTGGGTGCTCCAGGACTCGAGTGTTCCCCAGGACGGCGCTGTCCCCTAGCTCTACCTGAGACATTCAGCCCTTGAGGCTTCCAGTGAAAAGCCGCCCCTAAATAACCTCCCACACCCACCCGACGCTCTCCACGAAGGCCACGGAGTATTGGTCTCTAGCCCACCACTGTGGGGATACAACCACGTGATAGACTCCCGAGTTCACAGCAGGAACAAAACATAGGTAATTACAACTTGGACCACTTTACAGGGACCAGGCACAAAGGAAGGGGTGGGCAGTCTCAGGCCACCCCATGAGGTGCCTACTAAAGAGGCAGCCTAGCTGGGAGGGACCTTAGTTGTTTCTGGATGAGGGCCTGGTGAGGCCCCAGAAGGCAGGCCCAGTCAACCATCTATTGAGTCATCAGATATTGACTGAGCCTCTTCTCTGGGTCATGCCCTGTGCCAGGCAGAAAGACAGTTCTGAGAATGAAGCTGAAGACCTCTGTCTGGGAGCTGAGACGCTCTGGGAGTCTTTGGAGGTAAATATTTTGGGGGTTATGGCAGACTCCTCCTTCTCTTTTTCTTTTTCTTTTCTGGCACTACTGGGAATTGAATCCAGGGCCTCCAGCTTGTGCTCTACCACTTGAGTCACACCCCAGTCCTTTTCCTTTGTGTTTTGTTTTTGAGATAGAGGCGGTCTTTGCGTGGACTGGGCTGGAACTGGACAATCTTCCTGCCTCTGCCTCCTGAGTAGCTGGGATTATAGGTGTGGTGGTACACACCTATAAAGTGCCCAAACTGGGCTTCTGTGTGGATGCTGGGGGTGGTCCTTCTCTCACCTGGGCCTCCAGTCAACAGATGTCTCTTAGGGTCACCCTGGGGCTTGGGATTGCAGTCCCCTGAGGTGGGAGAGAGCTGGGAGACAGCTGGTTAAGAAGGTTCTTATGTGGCAGGCATGACTGACTGGGCCAGACCCCTCCTGGGTGAGTGGGTGCTCAGGACCCCAGGCTCAGAGTGCAGTGACCACCCTGGGGATGGGGGTGGTGTGAGCAGCAGATGGGTGCTGAGCAGGAAACTGCAAGGGCCTCCCCCTTTCCCACACTGAATCCTGCTTTGTAAGGTGCTTAGGAACTGCTTGCAGCTCCCTCCATCCATAGCCTGTGGAGAGCCTAGGCACTGTGTGAGAACCATACACGCATACAGAGTAAAGGAAATGCATTCCTGCCTCAGTGCCAGCCAGGATAAACAAACAAACAACTTGGGGGGTGCTCTCCCCAGAAGGAAGCCTTGGAAGCTGGGTTCTCTTTGGGACTGATGCTTCCCTCTGTCCCTGACCCATGCTGGCCCTGGAATGAAGGAGGAAGCCCTGAATGGAGATGGACCCTGAGGCATGCATGCCCAGGTCAGCCTGGGATGGGGAATGTGACCCTTCCTTGATGGGTTTTCACTCCCTCTGTGTCTGAAGAGTCAACAGGCTGGGACCTGGTGGTGGGCAGGAGAATTTGGGCTGAGACCTGGATGGGTCTGGGTGATGGGAGGGTTACGTGAGGCCCAGGAGGAGGCTGTAAGAGGCCAGGGATCTGCAAGTGTAGAGTTTTTCAGCTGCTAGAAGAGCTGTCAGTCACCTGGTGGTGGTGGTGGAGTCTGACTTAGCTGTCTCCCTGCTCTCACAGGTGCCTCAGAAGTGCCCACTGGCCAGTAGGACCTCTGGTTATGCCTGGGTCAGGCCATCCCAAGCCTAAGCAGGGGCAGATGGTGACCTGGATACTACTGGTTGGCAGGGGTGGCAGGCAGCTTCTCCTGGGGAGGGAAGTAACTTCTGGTCTTTTATGTACTAATAGTTCTTTATATCTTAATTGCCTTCTGCAATTTGGGCCTGCCACAAATAGGATGGAGGGTTTGGCAGGTGTCACTCAGAGAGCAGCTCTTCCTGCGCCATCTGCTCTGAGACCTTGGGTCCTCCCTATTTGCTCTTTCCCTCAAAACCTCAATACTGGGGCATCTTTCTGGGGTATCTCCAGGAGCAGTAGCAGCTGGGGTTCACGTCCCCAAGCCCAGTGGGCTCAGCTCAGAGACCCTGGTCTATTCCTGGTGAAGGTGACGTGCAGGAGTGGATGACTACAGGGCTTCTGTGAGCCCAGCACTCGCAGAGTGTTGCTGTCTGTGGGTCTGGACCCAGCTGGTGGGCTGCCTGGCAAGGGACAGGTCCAAGTTCGGGTTACCAGCTGAGCCCTGGAACCCACGGGTGATCCTGCCACTCTGGCCCGTGTCTTCTGATGCCCCTCGGGATCCCTGACAGGTGCTGACAGGCTGGGGCAGGGTTGGGGTCGCACCCTGGCTGGACTCACTCACCAGGTCCGGCAGGTGCATCTAGCTAGGCCCGCTGGGCTGTCCACGCGCGCCCTCTGCTGGCCACCCTCGCCGCTGAGAAGTGGGTCCCCATTAGAACCTAGTCTCCCCCTCCAGCTCTCCAGCCCCTGGCACCCACCGTTTAAGTAGGTGGGTTTTGACAACTGTATGCACCCATTTTTTCACCACCCATAAGAATACCCTTCCCCTCCGAACTGTCACAATCAGTTAGTGTCAGTCTCAAACTCCACAGAAATGGAAACACCGCGTGCATGTTCTGTGTCTGACTTCTTTGAAATTCATCCATGTTGTTGTCTGTGTAATGTTCTATCTTGTACTGCGCAGTGATATTTGAACAAATCCTCTCCTTTTATAGTTTAGCTTATCTTCATATTTTGGCTGTTTAAACAGTGCAGTGAGTGGCATTCTTTTAATGTCTGTAACACACACATTTCAGATTGCTTTCTTGCCTAGTTTTTTTTTTTTTTTTTTATCATGGCGCACTTAAACTTCCAAGGAGGCACAGAGAACAGTGTCACAAGAATCTAGTTGCTAGACTCAGAAATCTCAACCCTTTCCCTTTGATTCAGACTGGAATGACAATAAGCGTTTAGCCAAAGCTCCCCCACCTGCACCTCTGTCCCACTGCAACTGCTACCCAGGCTTGGGGATGCCCTTGCAGCTTACTGCGCACAGAAGTCCCGGGTGCAGTACTGGTTTTATTTTGTGTGCTTTGAAATGGTATTTTGTGTATTTATATTACTGTAAGTGTCACGTGTCGCTCTTCACATTCCTATCTTCTTCATTTTCCTGTGCGCGTATCCTTGTTGATATAAGTGAGTCTAGTTCTTCCATTTTAGCGGCTGTGTAGGATTCCCTGGTGTGAAGGGCAACATGAATGGATCCTGAAAACATTATGCTGTCTGTGCCACAAGCCAGGGACGAAAGGACAAACACTGTAGGAGTCTGTTTTATTTAGACATTGGTGGATACTCTGGACAGCAAGGCAGGGGACTGAGACCAGGGCAGGTGGGCTGAGCAGCTGTGGGTGGGTTCCACACTGAGTCTTATACTGTGGACATCTGTTCTTACCTGGCTGTAAGGGGACATTCTTCAGCTTCCCAGTCTAAACTCACTAGGCCTGGCCTTCCAGCTGTATCCTGGGCTCACCCTGTGCCATCTTGGGTGACTTGCTTAAGCAGTGTGTCCAAAGAGCCATCAGGTGCCTTACTGGCATATGAAATCTTGGCCCCATGGCTACACCTCTTCTCCTGAGGGTCTTGTCTAGAAACTGGGGTGCAGGCCAGGCCTTAGAGTTACCCCCAGAGGGCTTGGTTCCCCCAGTGGAAGGAGCTCAACTTCACGAGACTACCAGGTACCCTCTTGAGGCTTCCCATAGCCCAAATTTCTTGGATACTCATCTTTGGGGATCTCTTGTCTTAAGAGCCATCTCCATGGAATGGCATGGTCAAGTCCCTTTGAAGATTATTCTTGGGTCCTGTCCTGGGTTTTGCCTGGCATTGTGGAGACTGTCTACTTTGGGAAGGGGTCTGTTTTCATTTAGGACATTTTTAGGCCCCAGACTGTGACATGCTCCTGCACAGGAGCTCTGTGCTTCCTCCTTGCTAAGACAGATCCTAACCATGCATCTGTCTTCTCTGGGTGACAGGCTCATGTCTGTCTGTTAGTCAGTCCCTGTGTGGGGCCATCAAGAGCAACCTGGCCCCCAGGCTTGGGACATCAATCTCTGTAGGAGTCCCTGGGATCTTACCAGGCTCAGGGCGATCTCCCTGGCTTGGACATATTGTGGTCGTTGAGACAGAACGGTTTACGCATGGACCCATCACCCTGGTGTTCGGTGTCATTTTGGAATCTCAACAGACTCCATCTTGGGAGGGTTTGGAGCCCTTCCTTGAGGGAATCCCTGCTGCAACTTTTGGGGCCAGCTTCCAGCCAAGTGGAAGTTCAGGGAGACGAAGTCTCAGTTCTCTGTGTGGGGTCATGTGTCCTCAGTAGGTCCTGGTTGTGACTGTTGGGGGCAGGGCACAGCGTGCGTTCTCTATGGCGTCCCCTGTCCTGTAGGAGAGAGCAGTGACCACAGCTTACTTAGGTGGCTTGTTTCAGTCCACATGCTTTCCACACAGCCTCTCAGCATGGGCTCCGTTCATGACCACCTAGAGAGAGAGTTGGGCAGGGACCCTAGTGCCCCACCTCCCAGGGCTTGGTAGGACCATTCACTGCTGCTCCAGGGAATTCCTCCCCATGTGTGAGTTCGGCTGTGTGACCTTCTGGCCCCGTGTTTGTATGGAGATCTGTTTTTGTCTCTTCTTTCTTGTTTTTGTTCTTTTATTTGGGATGGTGGTGCCGAGGATGGCCCTTGCACATGCCAGGCAATATTCTCCCACTGAGCTACACCCTAGCACTGTCTGTTTCCAATCATGAGTGGGTTTGAATTTTACGAAGTGTTTTCTCTGTATCTCATGAGAGGACCATATTTTTCCTCTAATTCTGGGTCTGTGGTAAATTACATTGACTGGGTTTTGAATGTCAACTCCATCTTTTGCTCCTTGTTGACTCTCAGTATCCATGGGTTCCAGGACTCCCGTGGATACAAAAATCAGCAGATGCTCATGTACCTTATACAAAAAAAATTAAATCTGGATTGAGAATTGCAATTAATAAACTAATGATTTTTTTAGGTATAATGATGTCATTTTGGTTTTGTAAGGTGTTTTAATTTTTATTTTTTTTGGTAGGACTGGGGTTTGAACTCAGGGCTTTGCACTTGCAAAGCAAGCACTCTACTGCTTGAGCCACACCTCCAGTCCATTTTGCTCTGGTGTTTTTGGAGATGGGGTTTTGTGAACTATTTGCCTGGGGTGGCCTCAAACAATGATCCTCATGGTCTCAGCCTCCTAAGTAGCTAGGATTACAGGTGTGCACCCCCCTGGCATTCAGCTGGTGTTTTAAAAGCAGCATATGGATGGATCCTGCATAGGATGGAATTTTTATTTTACATAAACTACATCACCAATAGCCAGTGTTATACTTTTATCTACAGACTAATGGCAGGGTTAACATTTGGAAGGCATATTCATAATCCCTCCAGATGTGGCTGCCCCTTGCATCAACTATCTCTCTCTAGTCACCAAGCATTTATTAATTGACAGATGTTAAGAATTATTTTGGATCAGTGCAATGGCTGATGTTTCATGTACGTGAATTGACTAGAAATATTTTTGCAGGCACACTGGTTCTGAATTCTGCCACTATGATATTGTATCTATCGTGTAAAAACTTCCATGCAAGTTCCTTGTCAGAGGATCCAAAAAAGAGAGGGAGTGAGACTTCAGAAGTGAGATGCTGAGTTGGTTAATAAACATTTCTTGAGTTTCAAAATTAAAAAAAAAAGCCTACTGAAGCCAGGCATTGCGGTTCTTGTGTATAATCCAGCCTGGGAAGCTGAGACAGAAGGATTCCTAGTTCAAGGCCAGCCTATCTCAAGAAAAAAAAAAAAGAGTAAAAAGCATAGCATTTGATATAATCTACACATATTCTACCATTTACCTTAAATCCTTGCTAAATGACTCACATACCTGGTACAGTATAAGTCTTTGTAGACAGTTGCCCTTCGCTGTCAAGGGAATCATGAGAACAAAGTCTGTGTGTGTCCAATGCAGATACAACGTCTTTCTTTTCCAGTATTTTTGATCTGAGGTTGATCAAACTTGAGACTCTGGAACCTGCAAGTAAGAAGGGCTGACTGTATAAACTGTCACGTGACTCAGTTTGACTTGCTGATACTTTGTTAGAGTTTTAAGCATTGGTTCATGAGTGGTTTTGGCGTGTAAGTGTTCTTCCTTCCTATGTCTTCGTCTAGTTTGATCTCATGAAGCGCTGACCTCTCTTCTGTTCCCTGAGGGGTTGTGAAAGGTTGCTGCACCAGCCTGCTGCCACCACTGCAATGGATCACCCCAGGTTTAGTGGTTGAAAACAACACAGGTGTATTATTACCTCACCACTGAAGGCCAGAAGGACAAGGTAGGTGTTACAGGCTAAGAGGAGTGGTTGGCAGAGCTGGTCCCCTCTGGAGGCTCAGGGCTGAGTTGGTTCCTCACCGGCTCCCGTGTCATCCTCTATCCTCAGGGTGCATCGGTCCACTCTCCTGTCCCACACCCCCTGTTTGACTTTAGTCCTTCTGTTTCCTTCTCGTAAGGACCCTGTGATTACATCCAGGACCACCTCCCCAGTTCAAGGTCCTCAACTTTAAACGGATGTTCCGCCATGCCTGGCTCTCAACTATGATAGTTTGTTTGACTTAGAGACTATTTAAACTTGCTTCTTAAACACTTGAGAAGACAACTTTCTCTCATTGATTGTGTTTGATTCCCCTCTGCCCAGGGTCCTGCTCTGCAAGATTTCAATATTTATCAGTTAGGTTTGGATCTTCTACGTCTGTACTGGCTTTTCCTTTTTGTGCCCTAATCTACTTTCTGCCTTTCTGTTGCTGGGACAGAATAACTGACAGGACAACTTACAGGAGGAAAGATTTATTCTGGCTCAGGTGTCAGAGGGTTCTGTCCATCATGGTGGGGAGAGTGTGGTGGAGCAGAGCTGTTCAACTCATGGCAGCCAGGGAGCAGAGCGGCAGCAGGAAGGGGACAGGGCAAAAATTGTCCCTAAGGACATGTCTCCAGTGACCTACTTTCTCCAACCAGGACCACCTTCTACAGGTCCACCTCCTCCCAATAGTCTATCCAAATTGTAAATCCATAAGTGGATTAAATCGTTCTTTGGGTGAGAGCCTGCATGAGCTAATCGTCTCTGGAAACCCCTCACTGACACACCCAGAGGTGAGCTTTCCTACTCTCCTAGGCACCCGCCAGTACAGGCAAGTCAATCAACCATCACACCTTGTTATGTAAATTGCTGAGTCATTAAAATTCTCACTCAGTCCTATAAATTCCCAGTTATTCCTGTATATTCCTAGTCATACTTGTGGATTTGTATGGTTCTTCATTTGGTTTCACCAGTGTTTTCTTTATGTGTTTTGAAGCTCTGTCATATG